CCCCAAAACCCCAAAACCCCAAAACCCCATAAACTAAAGAAAATATGGAAGATATTCACAAAACCTTGAAGCATAGTCTTGAGTCTTTAGGACAAAAGCACACCCACCTCATGGCTGCCTTCTGCCTCTATGGTGCATACACGGTGGGATCCACTGCCCTCAGCTGGTCTTGGAGGTTGTTCAAGACTTTCCTGAGACCTGGCAGAAACTTGTTCAAGAGGTATCAAGGAGGATATGTGTTAGTCACCGGAGCCACATTCGGCCTTGGCCTCGAATATGCCAGACAGTTTGCAGACAAGGGCTTCAACTTAGTCTTGGTCGCCAGAAATCAAGAGAAGTTGGATGGTGTAAAGAGAAAATTCAAAGAAGAGTTTGGAGACATCGACATTAAGTTAATTGTGTTTAACTTTGACAAACCTTACACTGCTGAGGGCTACCAACCTCTCAAGGATGCACTTGATCAAATTGAAGATATATCTGTCCTACTTAACAACGTGGGTGTTTTTAAAGCAGATTACTTTAAGGAGCTTGATTTCGGAATGATCAAAACAATACTCCAAGTCAACCTTGTGCCTCAGACGATTATGCCAAAGTTTTTGCTTCCTAAACTTCTTGAAAGATCAAAGGAACAGGGTAAAAGGACTGTTATTATTAATATCAGCTCGGTCATTCATTACGCTCGTCGGAAATGATCATCTGTTTGATCAGCTACAAAGTGTTTAGTAAGACTCTTTCAGATGTGCTAAGAAAAGAGTATGAGAAGTACATTGACATCATGGCTGTGCTCCCAGGAATCACTAATACTCATATGGTTAACATAAATGCTCCTTTCTTCCTTCAGTCAGAACAACATGTAAGATTATCATAAAACAGATTAATTTCATACTCATCCAAACCTTTACTTTATAGGTAAGATGGACCCTTAGCGATCTTGGATACAACAGCCAGACCTTTGGCCACTATAAGCATTGGATTTATTGAAACGCCTACAGACTCCCTGGCTTTGATACATTTTATACAAGATTAAGACTGAGATTACTTGCTCAACAGAAGAAAGAGCAGGATAAATAGTTTCAATCAAATAGATTGTTTTAGGGGTTTTGGGGTTTTGGGGTTTTGGGGTTTTGGGG